TTTACCAAAAAAATTGTTCTATATAGAACCATTTTGGAGTTCCATGAAGTGGGGGATGGAACCATTTCTGGTTCTAAATAGAACCATTTCTTCTAAGAGGGAACAACTTTTACAAACAGTTTTCATCAGGTACTACAGTAAATCAAGGATGAAATTATGATATGTGTTCTTTAGGCAGCCAACTTTGCCTTTTTATTGTATTCCTTTCTGTTTTGAACTGAAGTGTTAGGCTACATGATGTAAAGCTGTTGTTGCTTAAAATATCAAAATTGAAACTACTGTGGAAACAAAGACACCCACATCTTGGATGCTCTTGAGGTAAGCTAAAACATCCCAAAAATTAATTTCAAAGTGAACTATCCCTTTAACCCTTATGCTGCATTAGGGACATTTTTGGTCTTTTGCAGTTTAATTTCTTTGACCATTTTGGCTGTTTTAATGCAAATGGTATGAAATTTGGCAAAATTGTGACTTTTTGGATACATGTAAAAAATGTGATCCCATTTTGCAAAATATGTATAACACACACTGTGTAGATCAAATAGTAACACTCAGCACCATAAAGACCAAAAATGGCCCATTGAAACCCATTAAAACGTTGTTTAAATCTGAGGCTGTCAGTAATACATGAAACATGATTTTTGCACAAACATCCTTTCATTTTGAAGCAAAAGCATTATATTTGCATTATATAGTGTATTCCACCAGATGACGTCACTACATATTTATTCCCTATGGGTGGAAATGCACCTTATTTTAGGCAATAGGCAATGTTTAATAGGTGGCCATTTTTGGTCTCTAACGCGCTAAGTGGGATTTTTTGCAAAGTGGGACTGTGATAATCCAAATCTAAAGTTTTCTCTTTGCATTTAGTTTATTGAAAATAATTGAATTTTTGTGTTTTTTCCTCTTATACAAATCGATGGTTTCGCAAACAAAACTGGTAATTAAAGGGTTAAAATCCTGAAATTGAATACATTTTTGGTAGTTATGATGAGGACTGATGCTGGTTAAAAGATTTAACTTGGTAAAAGTGGAAAATAATAATAATATATAATATTTTAGGCAATGTTTAATATGTGGCCATTTTTTGTCCTTAATGCACTCAACGGTGTTAAAAATCTAATGCAGCACAAGGGTTAATTTTAGGCCCTCTGCATGTTTGATAACCAAAAGTCTTATCAGATCCTACAATATTAGAGGTGCTTCTTCTCCGTAACAGGTCATCGTCGAGGTGCTTTATCTATCTCACATTTAATCACACCTTCTTTATAATTCATATCTTTCGATGAATAGGTTCCTGGCAAAAGCTTGTGTCTCAGGTGATCTGCGTGGCTCTCTGTTACACCGCTGACGTGATGTATTGTTAGCCCGTGTGTACAGGCTGTTGAATTTCACTCTCAGCTTGATAGCACTCTTTAACCGAACCTCTAATGATTCCTTAATGAGGCTCAGTCTGCTTTTCAGGCACACTTTTATGCTAGCTCAAACGCTGCTTATTAATATCTACATACGGGGGAAATGTCCTACACCAGGTGCTATTAAAGTGCAGTATTGAGCTGAAACTGCAAAGGAGAGAGTCATTAAACAATAGTGTTAATATATATTCCCCATCTAAAGTTCATTGTTAAAGGTTTTCTTTCTATCTGGGCTCTAACAACCATTGACTTTCTCCCAGTACATACATGAGTTCTCTATCAGTGGAATACCAATGCATTACTATTACTGAGATGTGCTGATATCTGTTTAAAACGCTGAAACTTACATTAGGAAGACAGTTAACCGTATACTGTATATTTACAGCCAGTATCCCTCTACACTCTTAGAAGAAAAGGTTCTATATAGAACCTTAAAAGGTTCTATCAGCGCTAAGTATTTGGAATACACTCTTAAAAAAGGGTTCCTCTGGGTTTTATATAGAACCCTGTGGTTCCATACTTGGCCAATAGAACCTTTTACCAAAAAAAATGGTTCTATATAGAACCCTGGGGTTCCATACTTGGCCAATAGAACCTTTTACCAAAAAAATGGTTCTATATAGAACCATTTTGGAGTTCCATATATGAAGTGGGGGATGGAACCATTTCTGGTTCTAAATAGAACCATTTCTTCTAAGAGTGTATGGTACATGTCAACTTATGTTAGTATTAATTTCCTTGCATTGTTGCAATTAAAAGGGTCTTCAACTAAAAATATGCTGCTTTTAAGCCACATGATTTTTTTGTCTTGATATAAAAACACAATGAGTGTTTGTTTAAGGTTGCTAAGGTGTTCTGCATGGTTGCTAAGTGGCCAAAAAAAAACCCCGTCCAGCCCACTCTATAATATTCTGGTCTGTAGATTTCTTGTCTTGGGCATAAATGTCAAATAGTTAGTGAATATAATATAATGTTGTGGAGCAAGTTTACGTCAGAATATCGAGTAAAAATGAAATGTAATCATTGGAACATATTGCCGATGGATACGGAGAGCTCACACCCTGGGCTCAGGCTCATCAGTAAAGCATCTTCCTGTGAAACTGTTCAAACACGGCGAGCGTAAGAGCCGATCTGGGCTCTAGCAACAGGCGCTGGCGTGTGTTTTCCTTTAATCCTGTGTGTTTGAAGGGATTGGACAGGCTGAGGGCTGAAGTTGACTGAGTAGCTCAAGGCGGGTGTAAGGATGCCCACATTAGTGAGTCTGCTTCACTGCACACTTCAGCTGAAATCAGCTTTCCTCCACACCAAATGAGGCGCATATTGTAGCAGAGATGGGCGAAAGAAAAAATAAAAGACTAAACAAAAGGATTAAGATAGGGAGTGTGAAAAAAGAAACACACTACTTGCTTTTCTTGTTCTGTTCCAGAACCTAGTGAACTGCCAACCTGGACAGTATTTTAAGGTGTCATCCATTGCAGGTCGCAGATTAAACTGCTGCTTATAAAAATGTATTGATTTCTCTCAATACTGCACTTTAAAAAAAAAAAAAAACATTTGTTGATAATTTACTCACCCCCATGTCATCGAAGATGTCTTTGTCTTTCTTTCTTCGGTCGAAAAGAAATTAAGGTTTTTGATGAAAACATTCCAGCATTTTTCTCCATATAATGGACTTCAATGGAGTCCAAACAGTTCAAGGTCCAAAAGACAGTTTCAGTGAAAACTATAAACTGTTCAAAGGGCTTTAAACGATTCCAGGCGATGAATAAGGGCCTTATCAAGCGAAACGGTCGCTCATTTAAAAAAACAACAACAAAGTTTAAGTTTTATAAACTCAAATGGTCGCCTTGCGCTGTTCTGTGATGCACGTTCGTGACTCTCCAGTTCAAAATGAACAAACCTTTTCCAGAGTCAATTCGTTCATTTCATTCGTTAAATGAACCAAATGACAGTAAAAAAGATTCTTTCATTTTGATGAAAGAGTTCGAACAGGAGAGTCACGAACGCGCATCACAGAACAGAGCAAGGCGACCATTTGTGCTTATAAAACTTAAACTTTGTAATTTATTTTTTTTAAATGAGTGATCGTTTCTCTTGATAAGACCCTTATTCATCGTCTGGTGTCGTTTAAAGCCCTTTGAACAGTTTGCAGTTTGCACTGAAACTGTCGTTTGGACCTTGAACCATTTGGACCCCATTGAAGTCCATTATATGGAGAAAAATCCTGGAATGTTTTCATCAAAAACCTTAATTTCTTTTCGACTGAAGAAAGAAAGACGTGGAAATCTTGGATGACATGGCGGTGAGTACATTTTCAGCAAATTTTTTTTTTAAAGTGAACTACTCCTTTAATGCAATATCCCATTCTGTGTGAACGGCCTCTTATGCCGGGGTTCAGACTACACGATATCACTCTGATTTTGGCCCAATCCGCTTGACGTTGGGTGTCGTGGTGATTCGTAATCAACAATGGGCGTAAGGACGCAATAATCGTCTCATCTCGTATAGAGAGTCATAGTGGACGACAACCGACACCACATCTGTAACACTTTACAAGGTCATGACAGAAAGACTAGCGTCACATCTGTGAAGTTGACCAATAGGAGCGCAGAAGCTCTTCCGTACACAGCTTTTAAACGAAAGAGAGATTATGGTATTGGTGTTCCAATTATGCAATGGAGGAAAGATTCGTGGAGCTCCTGTCTATATGATGGTTTGGGTGTCAGGGTGATGTTTCCTCGAGAGACAACCTGACAAACTGAAAAAAGACAGCAGAGGTGCTTCTGCAACCCGGTAGGACTGGAAAATAGCATTCGGCTTGTACAACCATTGTTTGTTTACACTACCGTTTCCCACAGTCAGTCGCTAGTTACACCTTCTCGGACAAAGACGGCAAGCGCTGATTGGCCGAGAAGCAGCGCGTACACTGTAAAAATCAATATGATTTATCTAATCAAAAAAATTGTGGCAAAAGATTACAAGCAATGTTATTAATTAAATTTAACAAATTAGATTTGAGTAATAATAAAAAGTTAACCATTTAAACTTACAACAACAACCAAAAAAACATACATTTAAGTCACCATTATGGTGATCGGTGTTCGTTTCGTTTTTTTCCTTCAGTGATTCTGCTTGTTAACATCAGGTGTCTTAAATGTTGGCAATATAAAATAAAGAGTTCTCAATTAATCTTTGACGTCTGTCTGTTAGTGAGATATTTTTGTTACATTTTTTGGTGTAAACTTTACTAATTTCAAATGGTTAACTTTTAAGGAAAACTTTGATTAATTATTACTCAATTCAAATTTTTTGAATTTAATTAATAATATTGCTTGTAGTCTGTTGCCACAATTCTATTGATTAGATAAAGCATATGCATTTTTACAGTGTAGTCCACAACATGAGTCAAAATGGCATAATCTGACACAGTGACTATCGTGACAGACACAAATAGTGTGTAGTGTGAACCAAGCATACTTGATTTGAAACAGAGCCATTCTTTCTGTTTATGTCGCTCTTTCTCTCTCTCTTTTTTTTACACAGAGCAAAACCAGCAACAGGAAAGCATGGGATTGGACTCACCGTCCTTGCGATGGTACGTAATCTCCACTTTCCGTTCCTCTGACCCCAGGAGAGCCTGAGCCACCTGAGCAATCGCATGTCTCTTGGTTTGCTCCCCATGTAGGAAGTCACACGTACAGGGTTTCTGCATGACGTCCGGCCGCGAGAATCCCGTCATCTCACAGAATCCATCATTACAGTAAATAATAGCACAGTTCTGGACCCGAGCATTGGCTATGATGAACTTCTTATCTGTAAACAACCAAACATCACATGAAATCAGGCTTGGATAAACGTTTGAGTTACGAGAATGAGTTGGGTATCACAGTTTGAGACATTGTTGAGATCTCTTCTGCTAAAAAATGTTTGTCCTGACCAAAAAAGAGGAGATCCAGTTGATCTTTCACTGCAGTTTAAGCAAAGAGATCTTATGCAAATATAACCAAATTCGCATGAAATTCTGACTTGTACCAGTGATTCCCAACAAAAGATATGTGTGTGTCCAGGGAGCACTTGGAAAGATTTTAAAATGACTATTTTTATTTGGATTGGATTTGGATTTATGTAAAATTAATTCATCCGTCCGGCTTTCTCTGCTAAAGTTTCTCCATTATTGCCCCATGAACTGTCAAAACTAACTAAAGACAAACAAGCTCAAGTGAACATGTTCATCCACAACATTGATTGTTTAAAATAGTAAATAATAATAGACTTATAGATTATAATATTTACGTTAATGCTTAATAGAATCAATGAGCTAAGTGTAAGTCAAGTGTAAGTCAAGCAAGATTGGGAAACACTAATCTAAACAGTGACTGAGACACGATAAAAACATTTTAAAGAGCATTATTTTTACAGCAACTGACAAATAATTGAAGTTGTATAGTTTCGTATTTGATTTAATATTAATGATTTCTTTTTAAATATTTTACTTCTATTTTAAATGTTTTGAACTAATAATAACAAATATTTGACATAATTTAAATTGTATTGAACTTTAATTTTAATTTTTATTTTTTATTTTAATTTTATTTTTAACTTTTAGTTTTATTGTTTAAATGCATCATAAATTTGTACCTGAGATCAATTTAGCAACTGTACAGCTTATATAACGAGTGCTTAAAAACCTCTATGCCATAAAAATCCTCTAAATATGCTCGAGCAGTCCAGATTCCCCTGCGTGTGTGTGTGTAATCTTCAATATGAGAGCATAATTCATCTAAACACACAGGCGGGGCATGTTGTCATTCATGCATTACAATGGTATAGCTGCTTTGTACATTAACAAAGTCCTCTGACAGATGTATCTGAAGTGAAAAAAACACACTCCTGAAAAAGTCTCCTGAAAGCGAGACTATCAAATGCGATATCACATATAATTGTATATATTAAGTAATCCCATTAATTATTTTTAATTGCAATAGTGTTTAAAACCTTATATAAAGGGAAAGTCGAGCATGCACAAAACTGGATAGTGAATGCGTTCAACAAAACTACTTTCCTTCAATGTAGTAGGCTATAAAGGGTTTATGTGTATGTAAATATAGCACAGGTTAGCTATATTTGTCTGTGCATGTTAATACTAGCACTTCCTTTATCATCTAAACGATATGGAGACAAAGAATCAAGTAGCCTATGTTTGATTTGTAATACTTACTCTGTCCCTCGAATTTCCGTATTATTATTCCAAGAAAGGTATTCTGAGGAGCGACATGACCTCTCCGTACAGGCATGATTATAACAATCGTCAGCTGCTCGTCCAAAAAAAATAAACGCGAACCTCCTCAAAGTTATCGCTGCATCTGAACGGCCGCTCTTTGTCCGATCTCTCTCCACTTCCAGGGAGCTTTCGCTGGCGTGAACTCACATACGGCGGCTGTAGTCACATGCGTGTCGGAAACCTTGGCTGACCTCCTCGAAACCGACACCGACGGGAATCGGTTATGAGGAAGAGTCTGCTGAGATTGGGATGGAGAAGCATCGCTGTGTGTTGCTGATCGCGTCTGGAAGACTGTGTGTGTGTGTGTGTGTGGTGGTGGTGATGCGCCTCTAGGGGCTTTAACTGAGCTCCACCGCCCCGGGCTGCAACTAAACTCACCCCAGCTCGCAGTCAGCCTCAGCGGCGCTCATTTCCTCGATCAAACGTAAAGAGGGTTGAGTTTGCGGCGCGCTCGTGACATCTAAAGTGTAAAAGAAAGTAACCAGCTAACAAACATATGTTCTAAGAACGTTCTTCTCTGAACGTTCTTAGAACATTCTCTGAACCTTCAAAACGTCATATTTAAAAAAAAAAAAATGTTTAAACACGTCCCCTCCCCCCCTTCTTGATTATTCGAACGTTGAAAGAACATAAACATTCAATTATTGTTTATCGTCTTATCGAGTGGAAAAAATAAAGTTTAAGTTTTATAAGCTCAAATGCTCGCCTAAGTGCCGAAGTGATGACGTCACTTTGTAGGACAACTCGGAAGCTAGCGGCGCATGGGTTTCCTCGGTTGAAAAGCACAACGCATTCTCACCCCAAGGCGTCACCTTTGACCATGCTTCAATATTTGACGTTTTAGGCGCCCTTTAGCGTCACTTACATGACGCGATCCTACTGCGTCATCTAACTGACGCTAAAGGAAAGCGTCAGTTAGATGACGCGGTTAGGTTTAGGTGTGGGGTGGGGGTAGGGTACACGCGATCCTAGGGCGTCATCTAACTGACGCTAAAGGGCGCCTAAAGCGTCAGATATTGAAGCATGTCCAAATGCTTCCCAAGGCGTCAGTTAAGTGATGCCTTGGGGGTGAGAATGGGCTGAAAAGCAATGCATTTTCCCCATAGACTTTTGGAAAATCGCAAAAAAAAAAAATAAGATCTGTGTTTAACAAAGAGTTGTGACCCTTACACGTTTTGTCTATCAAGAAAATCTTTACAAGTTAATCCAAAATTTATACATTTTGAAGCCTGTAGGCTATAAAGATTTAAAAAAAAAAAAAAAAAAACACAATAAGACACAATAAAGTTTAAAAAACCACAAGCAGGTTATAACTGTGTGTTCTATGTCATAGATCAAAACGTGAAAATATTTAGAGGCTTTGTTCACCACAGACCTTATTTCAGGCGATTTAGCAAAAACCCATTAAAAAATCCCATTTACTAGAGCGAGTGAACCGGTAGCGCTAAAATGCTAACTCACTTCCGCGTTTTGGCCTACAGAGTGATGTCATAACTTCAGCACTCTATTTGAACTCATTCATCAAAATGAACGAATCTTTTCCCGAGTCAACTCGTTCATTTCGTTCATTGAATGAACCAAGTGAGACGAAAAAAGATTCGCTCATTTTGATAAACGAGTTCGAACAGGAGAGTCACGAACGCGCATCACTGAACAGAGCAAGGCGACCATTTGAGCTTATAAAACTTAAACTTTGTAATTTATTTTTTTAAATGAGTGATCGTTTTGCTTGATAAGACCCTTATTCATCATCTAAAATCATTTAAAGCCCTTTGAACTGTTTGTAGTTTGCACTGAAACTGTCTTTTGGACCTTGAACCGTTTGGACCCCATTGAAGTCCATTATATGGAGAAAATCCTGGAATGTTTTCATCAAAAACCTTCATTTCTTTTCGACTGAAGAAAGAAAGACATGGACATCTTGGATGACATGGGGGTGAGTTAATTATCAGCAAAAGTTTTTTTTTTTTTAAAAAGTGAACTACTCCCTTAAGTCATTTTATCATTTGAAAAGTATCCATAATTAAGAATACATATTTTTTTCCAGCAATGCATAAGCTCAAATCCTCTTCGCAGCTGCAATACAGTGCGCTGTCCATGGTCCTGAAATGCTCTCCACAATATTCCCACTCTATATGAGTAATACCAAGCCTATTTTATGTCAACCCGTAATGCCTATGTTATTAACATGATGCACATTTACTGAATGGGCTTCTCTGCTGCATTGTGGGTGTCTGCATTAATCCATACGGCCTACTGACAATTTCAAGATAATCTCCAAGCATGGGCTCTGTGCGGCTTCAACGGCGCTTAAAAAAAGAAAGAGAGAGACAGAAAGAAAGACAAAGCAGAATGAAGAGCTTGTCTTAGTGAAACATCTGTCCCAGTATTTCAGTGCGGGCTGAAATCCCATCTGCTCCATTGAGAAAAAGCAAACAAGAGGATGGACAGCATTGAAGTGCAAATAACAACAACAGACCCTTTTTAAGTGTCTGACTGCTCTTTTCCCAAAATTTCCGGTCGGATTGAAGTGTTTCTGTGTCTTTGATTGATTTTTAAATGGTTTGTTAATAATCTCCATAATATCTCCTTTGTTTCTCAGAGACATTGAGAATAGAGAGCAAATAGAGACTTCTCTGCTTGCATCAAGTCAAGTCACCTTTATTTCAATAGCGCAGGTTGTTAATCAATGATGTAAACTGCATCCAATCCTGCTGTAAAGCAACTCTATTCAGCTCAATTCAGTTCAGTGTCAATGTTGCGAAATGTGAAAAAAAATTGATTCAGATAAGACAACAGGGCCATTATTCAGCACAATTCAGTTTCAGTTTTGTTCTCATCCAACATCTCAAACTGCAATTATTTCTCGCCAAATGACTGGAATTGCTATCCACATTCATTTACAAAGTATACGTAAAATAGCAAGGCTAATGATCCTAAAAGCAAGATGTTTGAAAGGCCCTTAAAATTCATTAGCCTGCCTAACCATTGGAGTTTAAAGAGTTTTGATAGTGTTGATGTTCAGAGTTTAATTGCGTGAGGTGATCTGGGCTCTGGATACCGATCCAAACAGAAAGTGTCCTGTTGCTATAGTAACCTCCTCAGACAAACCCCATTTCTGTGTGCCAATTTACCGGCAGCTGGGAGAATGTCATTTTTTTTGAAGGCTAGACTCCCTCTACCCAAACCTTTTGTTTTGACTTCCTGTGGGGGAGTTCAGGTCTTAATTGGGGGGGTCAGACCCGAGTGTGATTCGTATACCCTGACGCGAGTGACTCAACAGCAGAACGGGGAACCGCAG